ATACTGATGTTCCTTTTTTCTACTTTCCCCTTTGCTTTAATACAGCAAATGTCTCCAAAGTGGGACGAATAACAAAATGTCTTATTCTATCTATCTTATATTCTATCAATTAAAGTTGAGTAAAAAAGTAAAAATGCATGTTACAATTTTCTGAACCTCAGAGACATTACTCCAGAGTAAAATCACATGAACGTGTTTTTCATTAGTCAAAAAGTTAATGTTCTTGTCTAATTGACGAACCACTGCAAAATATTTCCTGTTCATAATAAGGTGTAGCAGATTATTATAAAGATGATTAATATCAATAACGCACTTCTATCAGACTGAAGTGATATCACAACTCAGTCATAGTGCAGAAGAAAAACATCTTCCTACAACTCTGAAGAAACAAAGTCTTCACAAAATACAGTTAATGGAGAGAGAGTATTTATTATGTACTTTTGAATACAATTGATAATTGAGTTTCACATTGTTTGACTTGCAAACATTTAATAAACTTGCAGTAGCAGCAAAAGTATTATACAAAGAATTAAAAATACTAGTTCATCAGGAGTATAATATATACTTTTAAAAGGTTAAACTTTTAAAATACAAAAGAAGTCATTCAGTAGGAATACAGCAGAGGTTTAACAAACAGTCAGTAGTGGAGTCAAATGCCCTCATACAAGTGCATATACAGTATTTGGCTGCTGAAGGAAAAACTTTGTAAAGACAGTGAGGAGCTGAATGTTGTGTCACATTATTTGGGTTAAAATGTGTAACATTATATATAAAGTCACTTATATTAATGTACATCTACAGTCCAGTCTCCACATGCCCATCACATAGAGCCACTGACAGAGGCTTCACATTAATATCCTTCCATAGGGATCAATTCCTTTTTCATTCTCTCATTCATATATGTGCACACATATAAAGTGAATCAGCCCCGCAGTGAGTTTCTCCAAACAACATTTGAAGAAATATCTACTTGGAAGGAAGCTTCAACTCAAAGCTCCTCATCTCCATCATAATAATACAACAGACAGTGCACACACATCAGTCTGTATCAGCGTATTGCAGATGTATCAGTGTATTTTGAGGCCTGAGAGTCAGAAGAAATACGAAGAATGTTTCTTTTATAAACCTAAATTTCACCCCAAGCCTTGGCCACAAACAGTAGTATCATGTTTTAAGGACCTTAAAGACAAATACTTAATGTGGGTAAATAGTATGCTAGTAAATTGTTACCATCATCAACCAAGAACATCCTGTGAAGGTCATAGTGAAGACAAAACATCTGGATCGCCCCCTTGTGGCTGCAGTCGAGGCCATAACCCATGTTTTCTCCACTTCAGCAGATCAGACACTGACCAAACAAAAAAGTATTTGACTAAATATCAGCTTGTGATTGGTGGAGCCCTCGTATTCTATTCTACCTCTCCAATCACTAATGCCCAGACTCCATCCCCAAATGACATCATCAGTGCAACATGGTGACGCTCGTATTTGAGATATTTTGGCGTCATTCTTGTAAAGTTTTTATTGATTAGTCAACTTTCTACGACTTCTGTGATGAGCCACATTTGCATGTCAGCATGTTTGTGTGCCGTCTGCCCTCTGACGCTGTGTGGTGCATTTAAGTGCTCCACGCACGGTGCAGCAGATCAGTTGCACTTCTTTTAATCCTTCTTTTTATTTTTCTATGACTTGACAGTGAAGACCCCTGCAAGGGATCAAACAATTTTAGAATATTTTACCTCTGCTGCACTCAAAAAAAATCAATCGAATTTACCAGAAGGAAAATCGGTCTACTTCTGAACTGATCACAAGATATGCACCTGGAGAAAAAGGATTATACATCGACATACTTTCATTTTTATGAACCACATTGTAGAAAGGTTATAAAACACTGATTTAGAGATAAAGACAAACCCGTTGTTAGCTTATTGACTTACAGTGGCTGACCTGTGGACGAGCTCCTGTTTATTGCCACCAACTTGGTCTATTGACAACACATTATTTTGATATGTACATGTATGTCTTTCTGTATTAAAGTAGCTAAAAATCAATATTCTTAAATTAACAATGGGCAGTGATAAACTCTCTGAACTCTACCTGCTCAGGAGAAAATGACAGAAAACGACCTGTACACGAGGTGCAGCTAAAGATTTCTCTGAGGAGGTGGTGCAGACCAACAGTGTGTTATGTTTATAACTTTCTTCCTCAGCCACAAAGTGGACAGGTTTGCAGGTTTAACCTGCATTTTATATTAAAGTATATATTAAAATAGTTTTATTAAAGCTAAAAAGCTATTTTACATTAAATACATGTATATAATAATTTCTATACACAGAGCTGCTTAGTTGTTGTTACGAAAAAGAAAATTGCCCCATTTTCAAACTCGGTAGAAACTATGATTAGGATCAGGTGGAAAAAAAAGGTATAGAAACCCTGGTTAGTACACGATGATCTGCTGCTATGATTCTGCAGCAGATATAGTTCCCAAACCTGTCGACAGGAGGAACCCTACAGTGGGTTCTCCCTCATTTTCACTCTCTTCTCTCCTCTTCTCTTCTCCTCTCCTCTCCTCTTCTCTCCTCTCCATCATAAACCCTTGTTGTAGGTCACCACCTTGCAATCTGTTGCCATGGCAATCTCTGGCTCAAGGCGAGACACCTCAATCTGCAAAAAAGAAAAAAGGAAAAAAACTAGATTTAGCTCCACATCTCTGGTCTTTAAACCCTGAAATCAATGTGACTTTTAATTAGACGTGGAGGAGACATCTGGGATAAAAGGTGAGTATGTAGGCTTGTGAGGCGAAGCTGTGCATGTGAAGGGATGCATATGTAATTAGATTTTTTCCCAGCTGCTCCCTCATCCCATCTGGCCTTGAATGAGCATCAGAGGAAGGTCATCTACTGTACCTGAGACATCTGCGGGAACAGGCTGATGGCCACGGGCAGGGAGAGGCCGAAGGTGACCAGGCACACAGCACTGTGGATGGGTAGCAACAGTCTGCGGTTGCTCTGCAGGAATCGGAGCCTGCACAAGTCAAGACGGTGATGAAAAAAAGGAAATGGAGCCTGTGCCAATCGATCGTTATTTTTAGATCCGGAGAAAAGCTTCACGGGCAGATTTGGGGGAGCCATTTCACACAATTAGTGGGGAGGAGATATTTCTGTCTGAATGAAAGTTCCAACTGAGTCAGACTGCAGAGATCTTCTTTTGTTTCATCGCACAATAGAAGAAGAATAAACTCTTAAAACAGAAACACGCTATTACATTTCAATTTCCATTCTCTTACATGTGTGACTCAATGAACGAATGTTGTAGGAACTGACTTTTCTGCACATGTGCTCATATAAACAACATTTACTTATTCAATGTTTCATGGGTTATAAATAAGAAAACATGACGACAGAGAGCATTAATGAAGAAACACTTTGAATGGATGAGGAAATACATTTACCAGCTGCTCTGCTAAACTAGGCTGGTAAACTAATCCAGTATAATAGCTTCTCTGTCCTGGTTGGATTTGACTACTGTGTCATTGATATAGGATATTAAATCATATAGATAGACAATTAACAATTAACAGAGGCAATTATTATTGTACAACTGGCAACAATGCTTAGGAGCAATCTTTGACTTAGCAAAGTCTGTTGATTCTAGTAGTTTCAGTTTTTTGTAGTCACGTATGAATTTTTCTCTTTCTAATTTTTCCAACAATGAACTCAATTAGTTTGGGTTTTATTCTGGTGTTGGAACAAAATACATTGAAAGGTGTCACATTGGGTTTTGGGAACTTAAGATTGTGGACAGTGATTCCTTGAATATTGAGAAAAGATTGATTTCAATCTAAGTTTGTTTTAAAAATAATTTATTTCTACACAAACCTCTCTAGGTAGGACATGATGATGGGCGGCAGGACGAAGATCGGCATCGGGAGAACCACACGTGTGAAGGCTGTCTCCGTGATCGCCTGGGGGAAAACAAGAGAACATTGTGCACACGCTTCATTTCAAATACTGCAATGAGTTGGATTTCCTTTTATGGGATCAGATAGCAGCTGAATTACAAGAGCCGAGAAGGAAATAATGCTTTTTCACTATTATCAGCCACCATAACATCTCCAAGACTACAAACATATAAAAAAGTACACAGAGTAAGTAAAAAACCCCTCACATGTCTGGCAGCGATTTTAGAGGATCCCACCACATTTCCATTGTCGTCCAGCACATCGATACCTTCGGACAACTCATTGTGTCGCATCAGACCCACATTACAGATGTTTGCACTCGCTGAGGAGACAGAATTTATTTATATCGTTTTTAAATCAGAACAGACGTTGAAGTAATAAATAAATAACGGCACAGATCAGAGGAAATTCTGATAAAGACATCTCAAGTATTTTTTAATACTGTGACCTTGAAGTACTGTTGTGTTATTGTACAGTGTACTGCAGTAAAACTCTGTCAAATTCAGTAACATAAATTGTAAATGGTACACAGGGTCACACAGGGAAAACCTACCAACCGCTGGGAATGGAACAAGTCTCTGTATGATCATTCTGGTGGCAGGACTCAGCTTGTTGGCCTTCTGAATCAGCACATTCAGCCCCACCTATAAAATACAACATCAACCTAAATCCAACAAATACATTTTAAACATCTTCAACTTCCGACAACGTCTCCTTAAAATATTATGAAAACTAATGTGTGTATCTTTTATGTTCAGCAGTAGCTATTGTAATTTGCATTAAAAAGTTTACTTTAGCTTGCAAAAAAAGAATAATACATCGATGTGGATGAAAAATACAGCACGTCTCTATCATGACAGAAAACGCTTAATAAGAAAACTCACTGCAATGGAGACGGCACTGGTCACAGCTCCTACATAGCCTTGAAGAAACTTGGATGTTGGTGTAGGCTGAAGAGGGACACAAGAAGTACTGTGTCACAGTTAAATAATGCTACTACTAGTAGTTGGTAACTTAAATTGTGCAGAAGACCTTCAAACATACAAGGGCTATTCAACATCTTGTCCTATATTCTAAAATATAGTTTGACACATGGTTTACTCTCAGACTAAAGTAGTAATAGTAGAAGTAGGTCTTACCTTTGTGGCGTTGCGGTTGGCGTAGTTCACGCAAGCATTGTGACTCTGGTTTAGCCACTGTGGGAGAGATAGAAGGAAATAAGAAAGGATGGGGGTTAAAAGAATTATGTAGGTATGATAGAGGAGAATGGAGAGAGAGAGAGAGAAAGGTAGGGAGGGAGGGAGGGAGGGAGGTAAGAAGGGAGGTAGGTAGACAGGGAGGTAAGAAGGTAGGGAGGGAGGGAGGGAGGGAGGTAAGAAGGTAGGTAGGTAGGTAGGTAGGTAGGTAGGTAGGGAGGTAAGAAGGTAGGTAGGGAGGTAAGAAGGTAGGTAGGTAGGTAGGTAGGTAGGTAGGTAGGGAGGTAAGAAGGTAGGTAGGGAGGTAAGAAGGTAGGTAGGTAGGTAGATAAGTAGGTAGGGAGGTAAGAAGGTAGGTAGGGAGGTAAGAAGGTAGGTAGGTAGGTAGATAAGTAGGTAGGGAGGTAAGAAGGTAGGTAGGACGTTGGTAGATAGGAGGTAGGGAGGTAGGAAGTTGGTAGGTAGGAGGTAAGGAGGTAGCCAATCGCCAAAAAGCTGTTAACAGAGCTTTCGTAAATGTACAATGTGCTAAAAGCAATGGTTTTACAGTACGTTTATTTACAGTACCTGCCATACAATGGTAGACACCACAGTCTGATTTGGGAGAAGGAGGCCAATGACCTAGATGAAACCAGGGAATAAGAGCTTATTTCTGGAGAAAATAAGTCCACACTCTCATTTCATCTGTCCCCAAAACATGAGCGTGTGAATGGACGTCTGCACAGCCAAGTTCACTTCCATGAAATGCATGATCAAAATGTGCGATGTGGTTTTTCACGTGGGACTTACAATTGGTGTTCCGAATGGTACATAACCTGCACAGTGAAGACATGATTCTCTGTGTAAAAAAACGATGACTAAATGAGCCAACTTGAACAACTTGAGCAAAGATCTTCATCTGAGGTCGTACCTGACATTCGAAATGGCATGAAGATCTTCTCTCCTGTGTCAGGATGAATGATGGCCTGCGTGCAGAGAGCATGGCATCATCCTCATGCTCAGGAGCCCAGAGGCTTGAATGTATGGGAGTGCAGTTAACCTGGGCTCACTTACGACTCGTCAGTCACTTACCTGCTTGATCTTCTGGGCCTCCCAAAGCTGCACAGGAAGTAAAAAAGAAAAAGTACAGTTAAACATTTTTCCACTTTTCCATCACACAGACTTTTTTTTTCCTTTCAGTCATATCAAATTTAAAAAACCCTTCAAGAACAGATTTATCAAACTGCAACACTCGCCTGAAGATCAGACACTCCAGGTGGAAGAATGCCACATTTATAATCATCCAGGAGTTTGATGCATTCCTTCAGTCGTTTCTAAATGAAATAGAAAAGGACAAAATTAGACAAAGAAAGCAGGAAGCCTACACAGTTACTGCATGTTGACACAACATTTATTTTTACATTATTTAATATAGACAAACACATATGAAACACATGGCAGTAATAGAAATGTTTTTAATCAACAAACTCCTTTTTGAACTAACATAAGAAGCCAAAGATATTAATTATCAATACATCTATTAATCTGCCAAATACTGATACTAAGTTATCATTTCATTGTTTGGTTTTTAAAATGTCAGAAAACACAACACAACACGAATTACTAAAATTATAGATTTTAAAATGAGAGTGCATCAGCAACATATTCCCAGTTTTACAGGAGAGTTTACCTCGGACACAAACAGGGTGCTGGGGTCAATGATGTCTACGAAGTGTCTCAGACGACCGAGGAAGGAACCCTGTGAGAGACAAAGTTAAACCCTCAGTGTCAGTAGACGCCGATATAGCAGCAGACCACCCTCGCTCCATTTATGAATTCTCCCACAAGTCCTGTGAGCTGATTTATTGCTGCTCACTGCTGCAGAACATGGTTTTATCTTTGTCCCACAGCCGCTGTGAAACTGAACCTGTGAGGTCAGTTGTGTTCTTATAGAATTACATGCGAGCACATTTCATTGATTCACATCCACACGGCCACAGCCCGGACTCCAGATATACTGTAGATCGAATCATTATAATGATTCATTTAACTCCTCAATTTTATTTCAGCTGCTTCTGAGATGATTTAAATTCAGTTTTAAATAATTCTGCAAACTGCGGGGAGTAAAAATCTGGTCACATTCTTTCTTGTAAACAAAGAAATATGAACTTCAAAAATGTTGTTGAAATACTCGAGCTCCTGAGGCCACCGCTGAGGACACGCCCACAGTGCTCTGTTGTACGGCCCTGTTCACCATCTGTCAGCTATGATTCATTAGGTTTCCCCTGCGGCACAATGAATTATTGCTTGTTCACTAGATGAAGAACATTAAATGCAGCTGAAAGCTCTGAATCATCAGTAAATGGAGCTCAGATTCTTTTGTATAAATATATTCACATCTTGCAGGTCGCAGGTGTATGTGGGTGTGGCCTCAGTCAGTCTCAACCCTGCTTCTCCTTATATTCTTCTCAAGATCTCGCTTGACCAACGCCAGCTCACAAACCAATGGCTCACGTCACAGTGGTTCTCACTTGGCTCGATGCAAAGATTGGACAAAAGTTTAAATAACTTGAGTCTCAACATCAAAAGGTAAATCCACCTCCCATCTCTAACGCTCAGGCCCGCTGTCGTTTAATGATTCAACTCTGCAGAGACTTTCTACACCAGAAAACAAGTACGTGTCCATTCATCCATTAACTTTATCACTTATCCGTTGAGGGTAGGTGATATAGCAAATCACAGCTGACAAAGGGCAGGAGGCAGGTTGCACCTTGGACAGGTCGCTAGGCCAACACACACTCACCTATGGTCAAATTAGAGTCTCCAGTAAACCTAGCGCCAATCTGCATGTCTGTAGGATTTCAGACACTCAGACAAAAACATGCCAACTCCACACTGAAAGTTTTGTCTTGCAAATAAGTGTATTTCTCAAAATGTCAAAGTATTTCTTTGGGTTTAAGTTCTCATTCAGGACAATGAGCTGCAGCTGAGAGCTTAAAATCATGAGTATCAGGACATTTGAGTTTAGACTCGTCAGGGTTTGCTGCTCTCAAAGGTCAAGAATGAACATAAAAAAATAACTGGACACTCTGAGATCACAATATAAGAAAACTGAAGTGGTAACTGCTCAGAAATTAAATATGAGAAAAAAACACAACCAATTAAAAGTATAAAGATAAATGTCGTAACTGCACCAGGGAACAAAATAAAGCTGAAGTGTAAATGTAAAATCTGCAGTTTGAGACTAAATCTAAGTTTACATTGAACAAACACATTCCTCTGAGTGAGGCTGGGAGCTGCTGGTGGAGATCTCTGTTTTCTGTTGCCTTTGCATGCCAATTACTAAGAGACTGTGCCAGCAGTCTGAAAAGACCCGATGGCAGTTTATGCCAAGAGTCTCTTTGGCAAGACAGATGGGGCGAGAACATGGCAGCTTCTATCAGATTCCCTCAGAGACATTTATCAGTTATGAAGGGCAGAAAACACAGTGGGACGATTGTGGAGCGGACGAGTCTCTATTCGAATGAGCTCTTCAGATTGAGATGACTGGAAACATCCTCTGGTTCTGCTAAAGACCGCGCTCGTCTTCCTGCGCTGTGTCGCTGGGTTTCTCTCCTGCCTCCATCACGTCTCCTCCTCTGACAGGGCCGCATGTGCTGCAGTGCTGTTTTGTAAGAGTCGGGTGGAGAGAGGATCCATGTGAGGAGCGTGCTTTAATTATGCATGAGTTTCAGCTCCCTGGAGAGTACACAACAAGGCTAGCAGAGATGGAGCGCAGCAGAAAACACACACACACACACACACCAAGCAAGATTTATGCTGATTCAAGAACTGGCCTAATTTGAACTGCTTTGACGCAAAAGAACTGAAAGTATTGCAGCACCTTTATCAGCCCGACGTGAACTGAGCTGGCTGCTGGTGGAGAAAGAAAAAAGCTTCACAGGGCTTGTGTTGAAAAGACTTCCTGTGTGTGAGCAGTGCATTGATGATACGGAGCCAGGGACCAAGCGTGAAAGAATTACTCACTTCCTGAAAATTATCTCGGAGTGACTTTGTGATGAAAATCACACGAGACAAAGGGTGTTAATAAAGTGTCGTGTAGAGTTTCTGTGCACCGGTAAAAAGCCTCCAACACCTTCCTCACAGGAGGAAGAGACACAGATTTTTCTCATCTGTGTAATTATTTTATATTTACTCTGCATCTGTGGCAAGTTTTGTTGTGTTACTTTCTGTTCTAGCGATCGCTTTGCGTCTCCTTCTGGCTATTATGCAAAACTTTGAAGCTGTGCTCCACCCGTGTCGTCTGCAGTGTCACTGTCGTAATTTTGTGTTTGTTTTGTCGTTTAGCATTTATTTTTAGAGCTGGACTGATGTGGATTTTTAGGGTCCGATGCCAAAAATAGTGAATAAAAGATTTAATATAATGATTTGGTGACTGATTCTACTGTAGCTATAAGAGAAAACACAAACAAAACAACATATATAAAACTGGTCATGTGTAGTATATATATATAAAAATGATCATAGACCCCAGAAGAAAGTGAAGCCAATGAGGAAGTGCCTGAAACCTGTATTCTCTCAAATGACCAGCAGAGGGCGACTCCAGCGGCAGCAAAAAGAAGTGAATTCTCACTTTCTTCATTCAGCAAACACTGACCTCATGAGTTAAAGGTCTTCATTTCTAGTTTCAAGTCTTCTTCAATACAGCATGATGTTCATTTAGCACATTTTAAACACGCATCTCTTCTGCTTGGTTTATTCTGTAAAATAAAAGTTTTCATATCAGCAAACATAAAGGCTGATGCCGAGGCTTCAGTGAAAGTCTGGTATCAGTTGTCATAAATATTTTGATGGTGATAATATTTTGATAACTCAGCTTTTGTTGTTTGATTGACTTTCGAACATTGAACAGTCAGGCGTCCCCAGGGGACCACTCAGCCTGAGCCCAGCTGACACGTTGAGAAATGGAATTCAAAGATGAATCCAAAACCAGATAAACTACTTTTGGTTCCTCAGTGTGTCCACGTCTCCTGAACACAGGACGAAAAACATACAGAGTTATTTACACAGAGGGACGGTGGACTTTGCTTCAAGCAACAGCATCAGGTAAATTATTTTCCTGCAAGGCTGTCTGTCTGTATCTGTCTGTCTGTATCTGTCTGTCTGTATCTGTCTGTCTCTGTCTGTCTCTCTGTCTGTCTCTCTGTCTGTCTCTGTCTGTCTCTCTGTTTGTGTCTGTCTCTCTGTTTGTGTCTGTATCTGTCTGTCTCTCTGTTTGTGTCTGTCTCTGTCTGTCTGCACAAAGGAGCCACCACCGCAGCTCATGTGCCACCAGAGCTGACGTGAAGGTCACATTATCTTTCAGGGCTGACCGATGCAAATGCATTTGCGGGGACGGAACCTGCAGTAAGTGGCTGCAGATACGGAGGCACAGGCCATTAATCTGGATCAGAAGTGCGGAGACAGTCGGTCTGCAGAGAGCAGCATCCCGGGGAAGCGACACTTGAGGGTGCTGGGGTGAGATTTGCACGAGATCCGTGGAGAAACTCGTGCGTAAATCTTTGGAGAAATGTGGAGATTGAGAAATCTCCCACAGCTGTAAAAGTGAAATAAACGCATGCATTCACGACAAAGTTGCAGAACGAGAAGACAAAGAGCTGGAGGCTGCAGATCTCAGCACTGATCCACGGAGCTGCGCCGAGGCGAGGGTGTGAAATGAGCAGATCCGCGATAAGACGCGTGATCGTTTCTGCTTCCTGTCAAAGTGGAATAAATAAAGTCCGAGCTGCTCTCAGCTGGAAGTTGTTGTTGTTGTTAAACCGAGGATCAGAGGGAAGTTTGTGCAGAGAGTGAGGAGGAGCAGCAGCAGCAGGAGGAAGAGGAGGAAGAGGAGGATGAACAAACCTTCCAAAACAAAAAACAGAAAACGTGATGAAGAGAAGAGACTCACCTGATCGAACCGGGATCTCCCGAGCTGGAAGACGGGACACGCTGCGGACTCCGCCATGACACCCAGCAGTTTATTTATTAATGAAGTGAATCATGAGCGGGTTCTCAAGTGAACACAACTACAGTCGGTGTGTGTGGAACTAGTGAGGCGACGGTGGAGCCGCGGAGCCTGCCGGGAAGTGTAGTCCTCTGGTTCGGGTTGACGCTGGCAAAGTTGAGGCGCATGACTACACATCCCAATCGATCGATACGGTGATAGATATTATATAAGTGTTCGCATCGATCTGCGGAGACAGGCGACCCGATTAATCACGTGTGTGTGTGTGTGTGTGTGTGTGTGTGTGTGTGTG